TATGGTCTTCGTCTTGTCTCAGAAACGCAAAAGTTGTGATGAACCGAATGAGGACAATCATGGGCTAGGTCCTTCCGTTTGCCCGAAACGTCACCGTCCTTGCTTGGAATCATATAATCCTTCTTTTGTGCCCAGCACGCTTGGGACGTCACGATCGTGGCGTAATAACCCCGTGACCAAGATCGACTCGAATATGGAGAGTTTTAATCCTACATATCTGACCGCCACGGAGTTTGATGATCAGACAATCTATTCCGCGATTGCTGACGAGTCCTCGTCTTCCTGTGCATCTGGCAGTCTCTCATCCGATTTGGACAGTCAGTCAACGACCGGTGAGATTAGTGAACGTCCCAAGTTGGTTGGCGCAAGACGTACTGCCAAGTACATGGGGACAAATCTTGCAACATTAGACCAGTGGCTTTTGCATCGGGACAACTTTCAGCCGAACAATTATTCCCATCATCATCATTCCATCGTTGCGCAAACAACAACAACCGCGGCCAATGAACCGACATATGATGTAATCGATCCGGATGGTTTGAACGAGGCCGATGTGAAACTATTCCAATCTGCGGACGAAGAAGCTCCTCGCCTGTTCGGAGTTCCGTGTATGTCAAGCACACTGAAGCGTTCTGGAACACGATCACACACCGCCACCGACCAAGCCACCCTATACGATGAGGTCGCTTCCGACACTGACACGGATCACGTCATGGTTCTGCCCGGGTCGGACTCTCCACGGGACAAGGCGAAGATACGCCCTCGTCGGCGTTACTATCAACACTCACCCGCCTTGGCTCATGATCCGGTTAAACGCGTGCGCCGAGAGTATTTTGTATGTGAAGAGTAGTATTGCGAGACTGAGAGTCTGTTCCTGCGGAATCACTCATTCACGTACTGTCCGGGCAAAGGTTTTCGGGTTTCTATGGCATTTTTCTATCTCTTTTTACGCACTTTTTTGATATAAGGTTTTGGTATGTTTGTGTTAAATCATCTTATTCTTTATCTCTTTTACAATCAATGTTTCACCGTTCGCTAAACCCTCGACTATACCACGGGTATCATTTTCCAAACATAATATCTTCTGGTTAGTAACATCATCTTTACACATTTCACATTCAACTTCTTTCTCTTTGATGCACATTCTCACCCTGTCTGTCTGTCTTTTGTTTGTTCATCCGCGAATTCATTGCACCGGTGTTAAGGTTTTTTGTCTCTCGAACACACATGTCTGTTTTTCCTGTGCGGATCGATGGTTTCTGTGTGTATGAATACAGTTTTTCTAATCCTGTTTGTCTTCTGTTTTCCTGTTTATATAGCCCCTACCGTTCGACGTGATCGTTAGGGTTTTTCCGTTATTTACCTTGTCGCGATCAGGGCTTTCATGTCCGGGATTCGAATCTCATTACTCAGTTGCACAGTTTAGTGATCAATGGTTCTGCTGCACTGAACGTCTATCCTTTTCAATCCGCACGCAGTTTCTTGCTAACTATTCCTCGAGGGCTAGATCTGCCGATTCCGTTAACCCTTTCTGGCTGTGTGGTCCACTTTATCTACTAGGGTGTAATCAAAAGGTTTTACATGATCGTCACCACGCCATCGCATAAATCCATCCGGTTACGTGGGTAGCTAGTGTGCTTGAAACGACGATATGTGTGGAACGGGATACGAGCAAAGAATCCACACAGCTGGTTGAACGAATCCACTTAAAGATTCATCGTTCTTTCAATTAAGTTTCAGCCTTTCTCCTACTCTAGCATCAAAATGGGTTGTCAAAAATGCGGCACCTAGGTGCGCAAGGTAATAGATGCTTGAATGGAACTGAACTGTATAGCAAATTGCGTTTGATCTATCTCCGTTCATCTCAACCCATGATTTCATTAAAAGAAATAGTAGCCGCTGAAGACAGCCGTGCGGTGACGACCAGACTGGTGCGCAAACACGCAAGCTCCCATTGAATTGGCCACGATGGCACCGAGTTCATTCCTCTTTTACGGTGCTCGTCGTATTTTTGATTGGAACTCAGTTCACGGGGACCGGACGATGGACGTTCTGTTTGCGATCTGGATGTCTGCAATCTGATGCATAAATTAACACTTGAAAAAGAAAAAACTCATACGTTCGACGCATTTCTCCCAAGATGAGCAGCGCACATATTTTGTTCAATACGAATGCGAAAATTTGTCTGTTAAATGGACGTTACAGCTTGCTTGCCAGTCAGCGGTGATATAGTTCAACAACCTCAGCCTAACGAATGATCTGGATAGCAGTTTATGATAAGATAAATGCATGACTCATCAGTCCCAATGCCTTCTTAATTTTTGATTGAATCGAACCGTATCCAGTCCATTCCGAATGAACGGGTCTCTCCGTAAGCCTGACAGTACTTCGCGAGTAAAGTGCCACGTGGGAATGGTATTACTGGAGGGAAAGAGTCGGGATATTGCTCTCTCTCGGGGAATCTTCGTTCTTTCGCCGTTGACTAAATGAGGTTTGACAAACGAACCTGAAAATAAGTAACCTTGTTCAGTCAAACCGGTTCGATCGGAGTACACGGAATTCGCGTTTTTTCCTCGGTTGATTTACAAACATTAACCGCAAGTTAGCCAGGGTGTGTGTTTACCTCGTTACTGAAGCGTGTCGTGTGTGCATCGCGGGCATCTCCATTGGCCCAGNATAGGAATCGAATTCAGAACCGCAAAGTGGGAGAACGCACCCATCCGGCCATCGGGCTTGTTCATCGCGCACAAGTTGCCACTACCGGTTGTTGCATGGGTGCTATCCATATGAAAACGATGAGTGAATTAGAATAGAGAGGCGATGGATATCAAAGGTGTTCAATTAAGTGTATGACAAGTAGGTAGTGGGTGAGCAAAAGCCAACGGTGGTCAAAATAAGGCCTGATATAAAAGTATGAAAACCTTAGCCAGGAGACTCGATCATACGTGTTGCGTTGGGCTTCCTGGAATCGTTGTGCTCAGTTGGTTAGAGACACTGAGTATCGTGAACAGCTCGTACATCATCTCAATTTCTTTACCACCTTGGTCCACTGAATTTCTCCATTTTCTCTTCGACTCTACGTCCAACTTTCCTGTCCCCCGCTGTTTCGTCCAGATGGTTAGCCAAAAGATAGCAACCAAAACCGGTGCACGAAACTGCTTAGTTAATGGTTGTACCAACGGAAACTGTATGGCACAGACGAGTGCTTCGGCGATGCTGACTGTTGCACCTTCCTGGTATGTGACCAGCTTCGATCCACACGTTTGTTACGAAAAAGGTTGATCACATCTTTTTTCTGACAGGATTCTGCTTAATTTTTTTACCAATGAGGAAATGCAGTTAGTCAAAATTGACCAGGGTGTTTTTGCTAGACTCCGTTTAAGCGGCGTAACCTATGCGGACGAAGGTACATCTTTTTAATCCACAAAACAAACGAACGCTGATGGGATTCGAACACGCGTTCTTTGAGATGATAATTTGGCTACTTTATCACCCCTGTCAGTGTGTTGATTTGGTGCATTTAGAGTCCGAGTTCTCACGATGAACGCCAATCGAGTGTTTTTCTTCAAACTAATGTCTAGGTGCGTCTTGTTGAATGGCTTGATAGACTGTACGTGATTTTTTCTGTTGATATCTTTAACATCTTTGTCTAATTGTGTGATGTGTAACATGCCATATAGGGTCGCTATTGCGAAGTACTGTGTCCAGAGTATAATAAAAATGACCAAAGACACCGTATGTTGTTATGCCCCAACACAGACAGAACTAAGATGTTATTTCCTGTTCTGCGGAATTAGAACGACTTCCTTCCCGTGTTAAACCTGACGGCAAGTGACGCGCAAAGTCCCGGTTCCAATGCAGTGAAAACCGAGACTGTCTCGGGATACGGCACTATTAATGTGAATTGGTTAATGACGATAAATAATATACAAACTTTGATTCCCGAAGTATCTGGGTTAGGACAGTCATCAAGGCACTTCCAGATATAAGTGCNNAAGTGCATCAAATAGGAATATGACAGCTCCCGGCTGTCGCAATTCAGCTTACAATCAAGGTGCTTCAAAAGGGGACAGCTCACCGCTGTGTCAAAAAGAGAATATGATCAAAGTATACGGAGTTAAACAAGATAAGTCCAGGCAGTGACATGAATCTCCCAAAAGATGAGCCAATCATAAGAGAGTTGGTCGCACACAATTCGACCTCTTGACGAACAACAACAGGCGTGCGTACGTGCATGCATGCATGTGTGTGTGTTTGTGTGCATGAACAGGTGACTCTCGAGGAGCCATCAAAACAGGTCACATGTGCGTAGGCGGTTAAATAATCGATAAATGATAAGTGGAAAACCGGTACAGGTTAGACGGAGCATAGGTCAATCAATAGTACTGGGCATTGGAGGTCACAAAAGAACTCGTGTGGTTGAAGTCATGCGAGCTATCGGTGTGCGTGTATCTGCATGTCCATTGAGGTGTCAGAGACTCGCTTGATTACCTAAGAAATCGATAACCAGAACGAAACGAATGTCAACGGGACAAATAGGAAGTGATAGAGTGGGCAATGAATCGAAAGAACATAAAATGATTCTGAGAAGAATCAACTTGAGGAACATTTGCCTAGAGGTTAGCTCGTCAACAGCGGATGGGGAGGGCTGATCTACCTAAACGGGAGGTACCACCCGGACAACAAAGGGCATCAGGTGAGATGTGCTATCCATCGAATCGGCGGCATCAATTTAACATGGGATATGAGTATGGATAAATAAACGATGCAAAGAGGTCCTCCGTGATGAAATTGCACATCGAAAAGAGGGATTAGGCATCATTCTGGTTCACGGAATCTGCTACCTCAGTTGAAGAACTTTCTCGAACGGGATTCTGATTAACGCCGGCGCAAAAACTGTGCGTAAGTTGTACTCTGTTCTCAACAACTCGGTGGTTGTTCCAAGCTCTGTCTCACTTAATTTCGAATACCTCGTTGCACAGCTCCGATCCATCCTCTCTGAGGGCTCATTTAATCGATTCTAGTTGTGATCTGCGATGAGAATTAGTTTGATTTGAATTGACGACCCGTCATCTTCCTTCCTGATCGGTCCTCAGTTTGTCCAATAAGTCGTACACCTAGTGGTTAACCATTCAATGTGGTCGGAGTTTTCTTTTTCATTTTACTTCCTTTTATTGAATATACAAAGATACAATTTTCAGGCAGGGGGAAGCGGCCAATCAAAGGGCTGCCATTCAACACATAATGGGGGAATAAGCCAGTGGTGGTGGGATTCGAGCGCATATCCACGGGGTGATAATTTGGGGCCACCACCGCCACCTGATGCGGGTAGTTGTCTAAGCGCTGCCAACGAGGCCGTCAAGAGCGATCTCGATTTAGTGCTTCTTGGCGGCACGGGTTGATTAGATGAATGCAGGATTGGGCTTGAAGATCAAGTCTGAACTATGGTCAATCCCAATCGATATCACCTATTCTACTCCACTACTCAGAGGTAGCTCTGAGTTAAATGAAAAGAAAACGGCAGTTATTCTGGGTGATGAACAGCAAACGGGGCGAATCCCGAGGACCTGCTGCTGTTCAGTGATGGGAATTGGCAACCTAAACCCCGGCGGGACTTGGAGTGGCGAACCCCATAAAGCCCCGATAGTTTAGGCGTTGGCTATTGAACCGGATGACAGCAGAGCTGCCTAGAATCTTCTCTGTCAAGGGGAAATGATTTGTGATAGGAGATGGCTCTTGGCTTCATCGCGTACATCCCATGCACCGAGTTGACCTTGAACTAACGCTAGTGATATACGCAGTCCAATCCAGAGCAGAGGTAGGCTGCACAGTTTTGAACAGGTTCTTCGT